ATATGGAAAATAATTTTGGGAACTACTGATGGTGTACCAGAAAAGGGTTTAAACTATGATTTTCAAAAGCTAAACTCTTTTACGAATTTGTGAGATTTCTGGACTATGATTTGTACCTATTGACATTTTATGGAAATGTTGGGACACACTGAGCCTAGCTCACCTTTTGAAAATGTTTTCCCCATTTCAGATACTGTTGGTTAGATACCTCGGTTCGAGCACTTGGAGGATCAACATATCTCTTGAAGTAAATCAGATTGTAATGTTTTTATCTTGCAAGTTGACTTTATTTTGGTGACATGGACCTTATTTTAAATATCAGATTTTATAATGATGACTCTTTTGCTAATACTGCTCGGTTTATTGTGATTTTGAATTTGAAGACATGTTTTAAATTAAATTATTATTTATTGGTACTATATTTACGAGTTGGATTTTGATAGTATAATTTGTTTATAATTTCATGTTATTTATAATGTGATTTTATATTGATAGAATAACGATTTCGAAAAATGTCTTTAATAATCATAATGTGATCCACTAGACTTAGTCGAAACGCATAGGCCGGGTCTAGGGGGTTACAGTTTTGACAAGGTAAGGATATGTTTTGACTTGATGTGACAACTCAAGTATGCAGTAATAGCTAATATCTTGTTTGTGTCACTTTTGGTTGTTGGAACCAAGCACACGATTAACCACTTCATGCCTGGAAATTTCATGTGGCTTTGCTGTGTAAATTTTTAATAATTTCTTTCTCTAACACCATTCTACTCTTCTTCCAGAATGAGTTATCTGCAATTTTGAGATTTGGGGCTGAAGAACTGTTCAAGGAGGATAAAAATGATGAAGAAAGCAAAAAAAAGGCTGTTAAGTATGGTCATCGATGAAATTCTTGAAAGGGCAGAGAAGGTTGAGGAGAAAGAGAGGGCAGAGAAGGTTGAGGAGAAAGAGGGTGCAGAGAAAGGGAGTGAATTGTTGAGTGCTTTTAAGGCAAGCTACTGATATGTTGTAATAGTGATGGAGTTTTGTTATAGTAGGTTTACATGTTCTTTCAAGTCTTGTGAAATTGGTTCTTTTACTTCATCATGCTCAGGTTGCAAATTTCTGTAGTTCTGAAGATGATGGGACTTTCTGGAGTCGTTGGATAAAACCAGATGCAATTGCCCAAGCTGAAGTATGATCCAGTTATCTTCCATTAATCTTATTCCCACCAAAAATTTCTTGAATGTTGCTTGTATATATTAGGTTCTATGTTTCTATTGGACAATTAGTTGGATCCATTTGCCTAAGTTATTCTTTTTTCATTAGGATGCTCTAGCACCTCGCGCGACAAGAAATACCAAGAGTTATGCTGAGACAAGTCAACCTGAGAGAAGTAGCAAAAGAAAGAAGAAGGGTTCTGATATTCAAGAGCTTCAGGAGAGTGGTCAAAAACGTCGTAAAGCAGAATACTCTGCCCCCTTGGCACCAATGATTGAGGGAGCAATTGCTCAAGTGAGAGGATGGTCTTATGGGAATCTGCCTAAGAGAGATGTATTGCGATTTTCTCGAGCGGTATGGTTTAGTCTTCTGGAATTTGTTATGCATATAAGAATATATTCCTCAAATTTCTTTCCTTAAACAACTTTGTAGCTTGTTAGGGATATGACTACTTAATAGCATCCGCCATAAATTTTTTCACTTTAGAGAAATCCATGCACCATGTCCAATTAAATTGAGGTCAGTGGAACCTTTTTGACTTTGGCATGTGAGCCGCTTCTCTCTAGAGCCCCGAGCCTAGACGTTTTTGAAAATTATTTTCTCCACCGAAAACCACCGTCCGCCGCCTGCCATCCGCCGTCGCCGTCCGCCGCTACACTCCGACGTCCTTTTGACGCCGTTTTTTCCTGGGAAGATCGTCTGCTCACGGTGACTCCAAATCTAGGCTTAGATTTGCGATAAAGCCTCTCAATCGACGCAGATCTACACACCGTTCACTGCCGATTTACGCCACCTCCCGCCGACCGTGTTCGACACCGCCTCTTTATCGTGCTCAGTGTCTTATCGCGACCTTAACCCCTTTTCTTTCTGTCGAGAATCATTGCGATTCCCCACGAATTTGCAGTGAGTAGTTCGAAACAGTTTCAGGAGCAGAACCTTCCTGTTTTCTTGGTGTTGCTTTCTGGAGAGTTAGCAAATCAGGAGAAGCTTGTTGAAACACGGAGTTTGGGGTTGGTGAAGATTTGGGTTTTGTATGTTTCGGTGGGTTTGAGAATAAAAGAGATGTTTAGACTTGAACCTTCGAATCTAAAGAGTAGCCCTTATCGCCAGTGTTTAACGATTCAAAGCCGAAAGCTTTTCAGGGTGCCAGTCGTTTGTCCCATCGTATGCACTGCTCAATAAATAAGGTTAAAATTTGAATCTTTTTTTAGTCTTTGATTTTTAGTTGATTTTTGAAATATGAGCGATCAAGGCAACGGGTTTTAGGCTGGAACCAAAAATTATTTTGGGAGGAACGTTAGTACTGTCTGGAGGAAGGATAACAGTTCGTGGAGGAAGGAAAAATACATACCAACAAAAAAGGGAATTACGGTTGCATGTTACACGTTATTTGTTGAAAATATTCCTGAGAATCTTCATTGGAAAAAGATTAGATCTCTTTTTTGCATCCATGGAAAGGTGATTGATGCTTTCATCCCTTCTAAAAAATCTATACAGGGGTTCGCTATAGATTTATCAGATTTGCTACTTTTGAAGAAGCTAAGAAAGCAATTCATAGGATGGATGGCTCTTTCAATTTTAGACGCAAGAATGGAGTTTCGATGGCTAAATTTAAGCCCAGACAATCTTTCTGGAGAATAACTAATACATCCTTTCAGCAGAAGGATGGGGAGGTAGTTGACAAGAAGAGGTACATATCCTCGATAAAAGGGGTGATTGATGAAGATAAATTACGTGTTCTGGAAAATTGCCTTGTGTGTTGGTGTAGAAATTTTGTCTCCATCTCGAACCTTACAAGACAAATGCATGAAAAATGTCTTCAGGGTTTTTCATTGATGAGAGCTACTGGAAATGTTGTCCTAATTTGTTTTGAATCCTCGATGTTATTGAATAGAATGAAGGTGGAAAATTTGGAGTCTCTGGCAGTGTGGTTCGACAGGTTTGAATCATGGTAAAAAAACTTAATAGTTGAGAGTCGGTGTATTTGGCTGGTTTGTGAAGGTATTCCTTTTCATGCTTGGAGCTGGGATACCTTTACAAACATTGCATCAAAGTGGGGGAAAATTATTGCAATCGATGAAAAGTCCCAATATCCATCGTCCTTTGATCGGGTAAATATCCAAATCTACTCAAATATCATCTCTAGAATTGATGAGGTAGTACTATTGAAGGTTGAAGATCAATCGTTTAACGTCTTGGTTCGCGAGATCAATCCGAGTTTCAAGCCTATTCCTTGGGTTCCCGAGGAAAGAGGAAGAAGACACGATTGCCCATGACAACGAAGAATCCGAAAATCCAATGTCGATCAAGGCTACCTTGGCCATCTCTAATACTTAAAGTGAAACACTACACAATGGTCGATGTTCCCCTGAGGCTACACCGGGTTCCTCAACACTTGGATTGTTAGAAAACTTGTTGAGTCAGATTGGGAAAGAAGATGTACCTGGCGGTGGAAACAATGGTGGTGAGATGTGTTTAGCTTCAAAGCCATGTTTAGTTTTGGAATCTTCATTACCTTGTGCCCTTAATCAATCAGATCAAAGCGTTGAGGTATCGCATGCCCTGGAAGACGATCTCAGTAGTAGGGCAATAGGTGATTCTAACCGGTTGCAGGGGAAGGGTATTCGAAAGGGATCAAAGTGTGGAAAGAAAAAATATCGCAAATCTATAAGTAGCAAGTAAAAGGATGAATTGGCTTAACTGTCTTGGACGAATATTAGGTTCTAGTCTGATAGTGGTTTTCGAAGGAGTTTTTATTGATTGGAGTGTGTTGCTTCTCAAAGATATAGATGGTTCGCCGTTAGGAGTCGATTGTGTTTTTATCTTTAAAGATTTATGTACTACTTTCGAATATTTTTGGTTTTTATTGATGCGAGGCTTGGGTTAGGTGTGAGTGGGCTTCGAATAGGGTTGACCCTGTAATATTGAGATGTTTAAGGGGATTTAGAGATTTTATGGTTTAGATTTGGTGTATGTATCTTATTGGGTTGTTTTCATACAAGGTGTAATGGTTATATTATTTAATAAATCATGAGGTACTCTTTTCCTCCTTCCAATATTCGTTGACATACGATTTTAGTATGTTGATGATTATAAAGGGAGTTTTTAACGAGACCTCCAATTCTTATAAAAAAAATCCATGCACCATGAAAGTTCTCTAAAGTTCATTTAGTTATTAGATATGTTCACACCTACATCTTTCTTTTAAAGCACTAGTAGCAACTTAGTGTATTAGTTAATCAAAGCATTGCATATTTTTTTAGTTTTTCTTAGTTACAGGTTATTGAGGCATTCTTATACTTGATGCCCTTCTAACCACTTAAATTTCCTTTTAACTATTTTTGCTTCATTTGCCCATTCCTTCCAATTAGAAAAGGCATATGTTATATTCTTCTGCATGCCTTCTTTAATATTTAGTATTTGCTTCTTCAATTATTGTAGGTAGTTTTGACCATATATATGTTTTTATTTTGACAATTTCGTTAATGCTCCAAAATTCAGGTCATGAAATTTGTGAATGAGAGCCAAATCACATCGATAGCAGAGGAAGTTGGTGGTGCTGTTGCAGCAGCTCCATTTGATGCACAGATTGAGCTTTTCAACACCCTTGTTGAAGGGTGCAGGGAAGCTGTTGAAGTGGGAAATGTAGGACCTTAGGTTCGTTGAAGGAGTAATATATTGTATTTTATTCCAATTCTATACTTACATACTTCATCATTGTAATTCTAAAGTCTTTTGTGATTCTTATATTTTTTCGATAATTTGCTTCAGGGACCATTATTTGACTTCTTTGGTGTTCCTGATAAGGCAAATGATTTGTTGAATCGTTTCCATGAGCTTCAGCTTTTAGCAAAGCGAATAAGTCGATATGTGGATCCCATAAAACAGTTCCGTGTGTTAATGTACCTTAAACCCTCTAATTGGTCTAAAGGGTGGGTGGAATCAGAGTATGTATATCTCATTTTATATTCTGTTCTTGGAGGGTAACTAAAGGAAAACTGCTATGGACTTATCATATTTTTACTGCCAATTGGCACTAGTTGATGATGCAAGATTGCTCCTGGGAATACACTAACATGGATTTGGGAATTGGGAAAAGATAAGGTTAGATGATAGACTTGGCCTCACAAAGAAGATCGCTCCTGTTGAACTTCAGCACCATGAAACCTTTCTGCCACGTGCTCCTAATTTGAAGGAGCGTGGTAATGCACTCTTGGAAATGGTACAACTTATACTTGCAATGACAATGACAATGAATTGATTACCGGAAAGTTTTAGATTTTCGTTGTTAATGTATCTGGTTGACATTTCTCTGACGGTTTTGTTGCATATGCATCTTCGTGTTTTTTGCTTGCTTGTTTGTGCGATATGCTTTTAAGCATCATGCATGAACTAGGCTTCATATTGTTCTCATATTGAGACCTTTCTCCACAGGAACTTGCAGCTGTTGGTGGTAAGAATGCTGGTGCCAAAGCCGGTTGTAAGGCTTCAAAACAGAATCCTCAGAATATATCAATTTCTCGAGTCAGAGACAAAAAAGGAAAACCTGGTTCTGCTAAGGTCAGTTTTAAAATGGGTAGGGACAGATCCAAGATGCCTCAGAAAGTTGAACCTCTAGTTAAAGAGGAAGGTGAAATGTCGGACAACGAGGAAGTGTATGACCAGTTTAAGGAAGTTAAGTGGATGGAGTGGTGTGAAGATGTTATGATTTGATGAAATAAAAACCCTTCGTCGTCTCCAAAGATTACAGACTACTAGTGTAGATCTTCCCATGGATAAGGTTTTCCCTATTTCTTTTCCCAATCCCTTATTTTACATTTCTTTGTATATGTTTTTTCTTTCTTTCTTTGTGCATGCTGGAGTTGTGTTTATAAGGTTTTCTATTTCCTTCCATGTGCTTTCGAAAATTCGGAATTATTTGCAGCTTCTTGGATGGAGGATCGATCAAATTGTCTTAGAACATGAAGATGAGCTCTATAGACAAGATAGTATGTGGTTCTTCATTTTCGAAACCTATGCAATTGATCTATCCAATAATGTGCATATTCATATTTTAGAAACCTAAAATAGGATAAATTCTCGTATTTAGTTTCAATTCTCATTGCAGGGATGACTATGCGATTATGGAACTATGTCTCTACATTTTCAAATCTTTCTGGTAACAGGCTTCATCAGATTTATTCAAAGCTTAAGAAGGACGAGGATGGAGGAGTTGGACCATCCCATATAAACGGTTCCATGCACGGTCATGTTGATAGAGATGGCAACCTTAATTACTTCCCTCCCTTCTCTTGTTCTGTCAATAAACAATGAAGGTGTAAGAAGAATGCGATAGCACAACAAACATAACAACCAATTCACAAAAGCATTGATACCGCAAAGTTTGAAGCTTGGAAACGATGGAGAGCAGAAACGGGCAGTCATCCCCAAATTCAGCCCCTAACTCAAAGACCTCCCAACAGTGGTACTCGTGTAGTAGACCCAAACTCCTTGGGGATTCTTGGGGCGTGACCATTTGATAAACGACTTGTTAATACTGAATGGCCGTATCAGAGGCGTCAAACTGGATTTCCAAAAGGGCAAGTTTTCCCTCAGGCATAAAGTAAGCCTTTTAGTGCTGTGCTGGATGATATTCTGTAGAAAGAGTTGCATCAATTTGCTTAGACAGTGTGGCATTGACTTCTTCAGCCATTCGAGTATCCTCTGCAATTCTTTTTTCATCATGCGAATAAAAAGTTGCTATTCCAATCTGACTTTATGCCTGGATCAAAGAGGTTATCTGCTATATGGGAGTTGCGTTATAAAGCACCCGAGGAGGAACACAAAAGACCGACTAACACGAGCAGGCAGTGACTTTGCAACCATTTTTTACCGACAGAATATGGTTTTTCAAAGTAAGTCCAGTATTTTTTGTTTACTTATATATTGAAAACATTTTGATATTTCGATATAACAAATAAAGTATTAATGAATTTTAAGATTTTATATAATATTCGATTTAATTATTTGAATATAACAAATATTATTACAAGTTTTCAAATATCAATTTTTACTCCTTACTAAATGATAAATTGAGATTTATACTTCAAATATTTTTGAAATAATTTTTACAAAGTATTTCGAATCATAATCGAGTCAAAAATGATTTTTAAATAGGGTAGTATCGATACCTCTTTATCAGGTATCGATACCTCTTTATCAGGTATCGATACCTCCCAAGCATCGAATGCAAAAGAGGTACCGATATCCTGTAGGGTACCGATACTCTTATATAGTAGTACTGATACCCTTATATAGTAGTGCCGATACCATTTATGTAATTTTGACTCTGAGACCAACATTGAATGTAAAATGGGTATCGATACCATGAGAGGTATCGATACCTATGGTGTTGTAACGGTCGAAATATTTGAATTTTATACAGGAAGTATCAATACCCCTATGAAGGAGTACCGATACCCATACGCTCCCAACAGATTTTTGAAGTAGAAAACATACCATAACGACTCTATTGACTTTATGATCATCTCCAACGTTCATAATTCATACAAGGAGTATTTAAACAAGTTTTGAAGCCATTAATGGATAACAAGAAACAAGTTTAGAGAAAGAATTCAAAGAGAGAAAGCCTTAAACTTATTGATTGAGCAATTCAAGCCAAAATCCATTCAATATTCATTTTACTTTCAAGAACACATTTTGTGCTCAAATGTATTCATCTTTGAGTGTTCTTTCTTTGTTCTAGAATTGTGCAAACATTCTATCTTGTGAGGTTTTTCTGTAAGTTTGCAAAGTTTGTAATTTTCTCTTTGAGAAAAGAGTGTCTCAAGAATTTGAGATATAATTCTGGAGGGAGTTGTAAGGTTATTCTTTGTCCTCAAAAGAAAGACAAATTAGTGAATTTGTTAAAAAATCCTTGGTGAGGAGCTAAGGTAGTGGATGTAGACTTGGTTGAAAAGTCGAACAAATATAAATCGCTGTGTAAATTGTCTATCTTTCAATCTCCTTATTCCCTAAACACAAAAATCGATTTAACCCCTCTTGGCAAATATTTTGGTTGTCGATTCGAGCTTCCGCAAATCCCAACAATTGACATCAGAGCCTAACTCATTAGAAGGCTTAACATCCTTGAGACAATCCTCGAAGAAGCTCTACCGATTCCTGACGCAACCGATAAAGAAATGGCTTCAACCTCCGGTGCCTATTACTTTGAAGATTTACCTTTTATGGATTTACAACCGGTCGACAATGGAGCAAAATATGTAAATTGGAAGAATAAGATGATGTTCTTTATTCGAGCCTACGATCTAGGAGTTTGAACTCAATTATGAAGGGTTACTCCACTCCAACCGATGAGATAGATGATTGGAATGATTGGAGTAATGAAGAGAAGAAAAAGTTTTAGCATAATGCTAAGGCTATGCACCTTCTCTTTTTTGCTTTAGACCTAAATGAATATAGAATAATCTCATCTTGTTTCAATGCTAAGGAGATTTGGGATAAGCTCCAAGTCACTCATGAAGGAACCGACGAAGTGAGGGAAACAAAGTTAAGTCTTCTCAACCATAGTTACGAGAACTTCAAGATGAAACCCGATGAAGACATCAAAGCTATGACGGATAGATTTTCCGTGATTGTCAACGATCTCAAGGGATATGAAGAAGTAATACCTAATGAGAAGCTTGTGAGGAAGATGATCTACTCTCTTCCTATGTTGTGCTAATCGAAGAAGACGGTCATTATCGAAGCTAAAGACGTAAAGTCTCTCACTCTCGACGAGCTAATTGGTCCCCTTCTCACTCATGAGATGATGTTGAAGGAAGAAGAAAAAGAAGAAGAGAAGAAAACCTAGAAGAAGGAGATAAGCATTGCCTTCAAATCCACTAATGAAAGCTATCAAGATTCAAGTGATGAGGTGGATGAAGACGATAATAAACAAGAAAATGAGATGGTGAAGCTCTTAAAAGAATTAAAGAGATTCATGACTTCCAAGGAAGTGAAGCATGAATCAACCAAGAAGTCCCCTGGTGTGCTTCAATTGTCAAAGAATGGGGCATGTCAAGTATGATTGTCACCTTTTAAGAAAGAAAAGATCATCAAAGAAGAAGACATTTATGGCAACTTGGAGTGATAAAGATGATTCCAATGATAATGAAGAAATTGTCAACCTATGCCTCATGGCCATCAACGAAGATTCTGAGGTATCTTCTAACTCGAATGAATTAAATTATTGTTCTTTTGATGAGTTACAAGATGTTTATAATAAGTTGTATTTGAGATTTGAGACTATGAATTCTAAATACACGAAATTAATTTCAAAACTCAAAATTGAAAATAAATCGATTTTGAAAGCTAAAATTGATTTTGAAAATCAAAATGAAATTTTGAAAAATGATTTATATCTTTTAAAAATCAAAATAAATGATTTAGAAAAAGAAAATTTTGATTTAAAAGTTAAGCTTGAAAGCTTAACAAAAGAAAAAGAATTAATTTCTAAAGACAACTTATTATGTTTAAAAATGGAATAATGCTCACATTGCCATTATCATGGTCATAAGGAACATACTTGTCCTTTAAAGAAAGGAAAACATTTTAAAATTAGACAAGTGTGGGTTCCCAAGGTAACAAGGGGGCAGTGAAACTAACGTCCAAAGATCCAAAGCAATTTGGATATCAAAATCGAAATAAATGTCTCTTGTAGGTGTGTGGGAGCAATGGTGATGAAAGTGATGATATACAAATGCTCTAGCCACACTTAAAAATGAATGGATAACCTCTAAGTTCAAAGCTTTTGTTTTTGATTAATTGGTTGCTCATTTAAGTTTATGCATGCATGAGTTTTGGTCTTAAATGGTTATGCATTGTTTTAAATCTCATGTATGTTAAAAAGATGTTATGATTACAATTTCATAATTTTTAGTTCATCATAAGGAATTTTGGTTGAAATTGGTTTTAAATGCAAATGATATCTATCTAATAATTGATATTTTTTTCAAATGTTTTAATTTTATAACTTTTAATTTTTGACCTAAATTAGAATGTTTATGCATGTGTTTTAAATGAAAAATATATTTCTCTAACAATTGATATCAAATTCTTCAAATGCATAACATTTTTTGAAAACTTTATGCACATGTACTTGATTTCAATAATCGGTATTGCATAAAGTATTTTAGGCTTGGATATATTGAATTTCATATGCTATTAACATGTTTTGTTATATCAAAAAGGGGGAGATTGTTAAACTATATTTTGATATAACAATTTATGACAAAATGTTTTTGGACTTAAATTGAATTTATTCAAAGTTTACAAAAATAATTCAAAATTCATTTAATTTGGAATTGAGCACAAAAATGTTTTTATAATAGTATTGTACTGTATGAATAATACCGATACTGTATAAATAGTATTGATACTGTGTGAACAGTAATGAACAGTATCAATGCTAAAAAAATTCAAAATGCATAATGGGTATCGATACTGCTACAGTAGTATAGATACTGCTCAATAATTTCAAGCCCAACGGTCATAAAATTCAAATATTACAAAGGTAGTACCGATACTCATTGAATGAGTACTGATACTACTTGTTCTGGCAGTTTTATTTTGTAGAAAATGAATCCCTAACGGCTCCAAAACATCCCAACGACTAGATACCACTTCAAACTCATTCCAACATATAAATACAAGTTCAAGATACTTGAAGAAAATATAGAACACCTATCCAAGCAATCAAACACAAGAGAAGCATTTTTCATTCTTAGTTTTCTATTC